TTATGGATTTTTGAAACTTATGATGCTTCTTTGTTTACAGATATCAGGATACGATGGTGGAACTGGAGCCAGCCCTATAAGTTCCATAAAGCATGCTGGTGGGCCATGGGAACTTGGACTAGCTGAAACCCAGCAGGTATAGTCTCGCTGTTGGAATTTGTTTCTCATTTTTGTTTTCCCTGGTAGTCTTTTGTCACCTTCATATTTCCGCATTGTCTCTTATTAATTCTTTGAAAGTCTATTGATAGCTAAGATTCAATCGTTTGCAGACTCTCATTGGAAATGGACTCAGGGAAAGAGTTATTCTCAGGGTTGATGGAGGCTTCAAGAGTGGTGTTGATGTGTTGATTGCAGCAGCTATGGGAGCCGATGAGTATGGGTTTGGTACCCTGGCAATGATTGCCACAGGATGTATTATGGCTCGCATTTGCCACACGAACAACTGCCCTGTTGGTGTTGCCAGTCAGGTAATTTGGATCTACCTTCTTGCTTATTCGTGTTTCTTTTTCAAAATTAATAACCAACTCCCACTAATATATTCCCTAATTTTGGTTAAAGAGAGAGGAGCTGCGTACACGTTTCCCTGGCCTGCCCGGTGATCTTGTCAATTTCTTCTTGTATATTGCAGAGGAGGTAATCTTTAAGAAAATTTCACTGTCACAAAAATTTTAACCAATTTTTTAATGTCTAATATTTCATCTTAATATCGTAGGTGAGGGGCATATTAGCTCAGTTGGGATATGAAAAATTGGATGACATAATTGGGCGGACAGATTTGCTAAAGCCTAGGGATATCTCGCTCGTGAAAACTCATCTTGACCTCAGTTATCTCTTATCTGTAAGTAGTCTGGAATTGTGTTTATTGCGTTTATAGTTTTTGTGCCTACAAGTTGTATCGGTGTGTATACCTCATTTCATCTTCAAATTTGCAGTCTGTTGGGCTGCCAAAACGTAGCAGTACTTCCATAAGGAAGCAGGAGGTTCACTCAAATGGTCCTGTTCTTGATGATACTATACTTCTGGATCCTGAGGTATCGAGTAGTGTCTTTATGTAGTTGATTATGGCATTTGAGAGTCTACCCGTCATAGGCAAAGGGGCTTAATACTTAACTTTTTGTTGTTTCCCAGATAATGGATGCAATTGAGAACGAAAAAACAATTCACAAAACCACGAGTATATACAATGTGGACCGTGCTGTTTGTGGTCGGATTGCAGGGGTAATTGCGAAGAAATACGGAGACACTGGTTTTGCTGGACAACTGAACCTAACGTAAGCCAATGCTATGATTCAGTAAACACGGTACAAACCTTGAGTATATATAATGAGAAGTACATGTTCATGATCGACTATGTACCCCTATAGGTTTACTGGAAGTGCTGGCCAATCTTTTGCATGTTTCCTAAGTCCTGGAATGAATATTCGTCTTGTGGGTGAAGCCAACGACTATGTGGGAAAGGTTTGTTTCAAAATCATTGTTTCTTCCGACAATATTTTGGATTAATGGTCTCTTATCGTACCCTTTTTTGTGTTGGTCTGATCTCTTATCTTACTCTTTTTTACCTCAATTCTCAAGGGTATGGCCGGAGGTGAAGTTGTGATATTACCGGTGGAATCGACTGGTTTTCGTCCTGAAGATGCAACTATTGTAGGAAACACTTGTCTGTATGGTGCAACTGGTGGTTTATTATATGTCAGAGGCAAAGCAGGCGAGAGATTTGCGGTTAGAAACTCTCTAGCTCAAGCCGTAGTTGAAGGCACTGGAGATCACTGCTGTGAATATATGACTGGTGGTTGTGTCGTCATACTTGGGAAGTAAGTGAAAAAAAAAAAAAACCTTTTTAAAACCTCGAGCCCGAAACTAAAACATGGAACTAAAGAGTGGCTTCGGTTTCTCTCTGAAATTGCAGAGTCGGTAGAAATGTAGCTGCCGGGATGACAGGTGGATTGGCATATATCCTTGATGAGGACAACACTCTCCTTCCTAAGGTTTAAATATCACAAAGAGTCCTCTGAAATTATCTTTAAAAGATTTATTGAACGTTTGTCAAAACATTGCAATGAAATCCATTGAACAGGTGAACAAAGAGATAGTGAAGATCCAAAGAGTGACTTCACCAGTTGGACAAACACAGCTTAAGAACCTGATCGAAGCTCATGTGGTAACTAAAAATCTCTTTTCCCTTCTCTTTACGAACCGTAATCATAGGCTTCTATCTAAAATCATCTCACGTGGTAACTAAAATAGGAGAAAACGGGAAGCAGTAAAGGAGCAATGATTTTGGAAGAATGGGACAAGTATCTTGCAATGTTTTGGCAACTTGTACCGCCGAGTGAAGAAGACACGCCGGAAGCGAACTCCGACGACCACCTGAAAACAACCACCGGAGACGAAGAACAAGTGCCAAACACATTGGCAGTGTAGCTGCAGCAATGAGAAGTAAAACTCTTCAAAAAATTGATCGTGGTTTCTTCTTTGTACAGTCAAAGTCTTTGGTGGAGACAAGTCTCTCAGTTTCTGAGTTGTTACATAACACAAAGTTCTCCATATGATTTTGACATGATTTGTTGTTCTTCTTCTTCTAATACGGTCTGGATTTGGTTATCTTAATTCATCGGGTCATCATAATAAAAAGAAATCCAGCGTGTTTGTACTTTGTATGCCATTGGAATTAGTCTAATATTCCCGATTATTAAAAAGATATTTTAAAGTTTCTGGATGTTTATTT